TATATATATATATATTAGATAGTAATTTTTTTTTTTTTTTTTTTTTGCACAAAAAAAAATCCACTTTTTTAGGTGTAAAATGGGTACATATTTCTTTAAATTACAAAGTGGTTTTTTTTTTTTTTTTTTTTTTTTTCGGTGAATGGACAAAATGTGTTCTTCATAGGTTGGGCGTAATTTTGACAAATGAGATGGTTTGGTTTTTACACAGGGTGCATCATCGAGGACCTTAATGGGTGTTCCAATACCCCGGTGCTCGTCGTAGTTCATTTTATTTGTGTAATATCGGCGTTTCATATGAAACGTTAAAATCAAGGCCATTTAAATTCGTCACAAAAAGTAAAGTCCGATAACAAAATTTTTTTTTAAAAAGATCATACTGTATATAATAAAAGTGTATTTTCAACATTAATTGAATTCTTAATCGTGGCATATACTGTCAGTATATCAGTGAGTGGATAATTATAATTTTTGAAAAAACAAAATTTTAATATATTTAGCAAATTCTTATTTGTAGGTGGCTTTTCTTTTTATCGCTAAATTCTAATTACAACCCACGCATCTGTTCTGTTCAAACCAGAATTTTACGAGAAGGTAAAAAAAAAAAAAAAGAAAAGAGAAGAAAAAAGAAAAACCATCTATTATTAATGAGTAAGCTTTTATTTGAGATGAGATTGAAGCTAAATTGAGAATGCTTATAGTATACCAGTGATTATCGACAGTTGGCCCAAGGTGATAGGCCGACGGCATACTGTATCTTGCATTGAATATACAACATAGCATTCATTGAGTGCGCAATCCACAGTGCAAAAAAAAATGCTAGCGAAATTACCTGTAGTCGATATTCAAAGGAAAAAAATAAAAATAATAATAATAACGAACCAAGTTATTTTTTTTTTGCTCGGGCTAGACACATAAGTTTGCTAATGCAAAGTTCCGCGACCCGACCAGTTTTTCCATGGCAGTTGGTCTTTAAAAATGCGTGATACCACCGAATCACGTGATATGGAAAAACTGTTTGCTTACGAATATATAAAATTGGTCATTCATTATATATTCGTATATTCTTAAAATCGCGTGTCTTCCCTGAAATAAAAATAAAATAAATTTTGATTTTCGCTTGAACTTTCTAAACTTACCTCGACTCATTATTGTCACCGTGTGGGGTGAGAAGTTTATTATCAACTCACAACCAGGAATCACCAGGTGTTCATACATCCGGTCGGAGTCAACCTTCGTCAGGGAGGTCGTAAAGGTAAGAACATGTTGCGAAAAGTCATCCTACTTGTAAAATCTTTCGACTCCGTGTCGATAACCTTCGTAGTGTTAGAAACATTTGTTCGGAGACCTTTGTTGAGAGAGAAGGTCACGTCATAATGTAAATACGAATTGTTAAGGAAAGTTTTATGCAACTATGAATAAGTCGAGATTGTGTTTTCAGGGATCGTAAAACAAGTTTCAGTTCTTTTTAAGACCCTGGAATAACTCCTGTTACCATATCGAGAAGAGATCCTACTACATAAAAAGTAAGATTTGTTATGTCCGAGAGGAGGAGCTCTGCAAAATTTCGATACTATACACGAGTAACAAACCAAAATAGGCGATATAACCAATGACAATAAAAAACATAACGTACGTACGCATAAGTTAAAATTCTAATTCGAAACATACTTACGTAGCCTTCCTTCATGAAGACACATTTCGGATTTCGGGTAAGTTTTCGAAAGAACCACTCGACGATAATCGTCAAACCGGCGAATGTATATATGCAGCTGCAATAAATGGAAATCAGATCGCAAGTTGACGCATGGCTTTCATCGAAGCTGAGTAGAAAAATACGCCTCGAAGAAAACAGGAATTATTCTGTGAAATGGAAATCCGGAAAGCTCATTGTTTTTTCTTTTCGTCTATGGTTCAATATCTACCTTGATGTTTTTTCTTTTCAATATCTACCTTGAAAGTGGCTTTTCGTCTATGGTTCAATATCTACCTTGAAAGTGGGTTTGAAAAGAATCGTGATGGTATTCTAGGCGAAAAGGTTCGATTTTTCATTTGATACCAAAAGATTTCGCGCTTCAATCTTTACGAGGAAGTCGTGAAATAAGAAAGGGACTCGTGAATGAATCAAGTGAACTTATTTTACTTGCCACCCATTCATCAACTTCAACTTTCTGGTACAGTTGTACAGTTGACATGATAAACAATGCAATGAATCAACTGTAAGATCAGTGGTGGTTCAAGATTCATTTCTCGATAATCTGATTCGGAGTTTCAAGAAATTCTAGTAACGGATCAATTGTGAAGCAATACTTTTTTTGTAAAACATTCAATCGATCGATGTAAAAAGGGATTTGAATTTCTTTTTCGAAACATTCAGTGGATGCAGCGGATAATCGGTGCGATATTTGCGCGAGTGAGACAGCACCGGAAACTTGGATGGTGATTGTTTTTCAATGAAGATTAGTTTTGTGTAGAGAAAGAGATCATGCTGGTTACATAATCACACAGTACACTTCAAACCTGAGCTTTATTCTCTCTGCTTCAAATGTATTGTATATGAATGTGAGAAAAATCCGACCTCATTCATCATACTATCGTGAAAGACAAGAGGGGATCACGGTTGAGACTGCCTGTAGGATCAATCAATGCAGGCCAGACTTTCTTACTGTCTACAACAGTCAATTCAGGCAAATCAATCATTATTGGTTCTCTAATGCACAATTGGAAATACATGAATGATGAATGATTCGTTGCTCGGATTCTTTATTTTATTAACATAAAAGGACTTTTAAGAGATTCTTTTTTTTTTTTTTTTTTTTACAGCCTCCGCTTCAAACGTACGAAATTCCAAATTAAATTAATGCGAAAGGAATCTAGTTAGAAATAATTACGTATACATGAGCTAACCGTACATACATGAATTATTGGATAAAACTTCAGGAATCGGCATGTTAAGTGGGATAGAAATCAAACACACGCTGATGCAAAGAAAAAAAGAAGATAAGACAAATCAATTTTATCGGTTTCTAACAGGTAAAAAATATCACGATTCCTCACATTAAATACAGTAACTCCTCCCGAAGCTAACCGCCTATTCATCAGTCCTTCAATTAGGAATGGAATGGATTCTATTTATGTCATTCTAAAATAAGGTTCAACTTGACTTCCAAGTTAGAAAATCAAGTAAGCCACATTTGAAAATAATATAAGCAAAACCCATTCAATTCCTAATTGGAAGGTCCAGTGAAAACTTCAGGACTATTTGCTGAAAACCGACTATTTGGAAATTTACTATTTGAAGACTGAGTATCGGAAGTAAGATATTTGTAGGCTTCAATTGCTGCATTTTTTTTCGCCTCCTTTTTATTTCTTCCCACCCCGGTGCCAGCAGGCTTCCCATTAATATGTACATCTATCGTGAATATTGGTTCGTGTGCAATACCGGTGACGCTAACCTCCCGATAAAACGGTACTGGAAAGCCTTTTTTAAGGGACCAAGTTTGTAGTCTGCCGATAGGATCTTGATGCTCGAGCGTCGATGGTAGTTCTAAATCTATAGGTCCTGTGGCCCCTTTATGGACAGGGAAGGGTTCTGGGGGAGGCACCGTGCTCGAGGACTTACTAATCTGATCAATAACGGGTGCAATAAGTTTTTCTATATGTTTCTCCACAACATCTATGTTAGAGTCCAAAAATATTGCCCCAATGTATGCTTCAAACGCATCTTCTAGTATTTTTTCATTGTTCCTTGAGCCCATAGAACCCAACCCCAACCGAAGTTTTCTGTCCAGACCCAACTGAACCGCAAACCTTGCTAATGATTGTTTACATACTATTTTTGCCCTTAACATTGATAGTTGACCTTCCGTGTGCTCTGGAAATTTCTTATACAGGTATCTCGCGACCAAGAACCCAACTATTGAATCCCCCAAAAATTCTAATCTCTCATTATGATGCCCGGACATCGGATTTTCGTAACAGTAAGATTTATGGGTTAGCGCTTCGAGCTCTAATTTTTTATCTTTGAACTCATATTCTCCCTTCGTTTCAAACTCTGACTTCTTATTGGGACCGTATTCCGAATCCATCTTTGATTTTTAGATGTTGCCACAACCGATTATTTTTACTAGCGAGAGGTGCAAGTGCAAGTGAGATGAAAAAAATAATAATTCTTTCTCGATTTAGCGCAAAGAAAAAGAGTGGAAGCAAGCAAATAACCGATCCCTAACTTTGTTTTGAAAAAAATTTTTGAACCGAACTGTAGATATTTATGGATTTGTGAAATGTCTAGAATCTTTTTATGTATGAAGGCGATCGACACCAAAAAAGGAAACAATTACATAGGGCAGCACTTTCTCATGGCTCGCCTTTTTTTTTTCAATTGTTTTTTGCTCACCTTTCGAACTTAAAGTATATCTGGTGACCCCCTATTTTGATTGAGAGTCTTCAGTGTATGTATCCTAATACTTATTTTATATAATTTATTGTATGGACTGGGATAGAAATATTTCACAATGCGTGATGTAATACTTTTGTTATCTAAAACTAAAAAAAAAAACTAGGATAGCGCCACTAATTCGAATATACCCACAACGGGCGATTCCGGGCGTTACAAATATTTAAGTCGTGATGCCCAAATACTACGGTATTTAAAATTATCAATTTAGGAAACAGTGGCGTGGATACGAATTCCTCTATGATATTGTAGTCATTATTCACGAGAAATATTATCCAAATCCAACCTTGAATATATTCGGCTGCGCTTAATTACCTACGTGCCCTTTCCCTCTTTCGGGATGTTAACATGCGTCTAACATTGGTAGGCCTTTTACATATGGACAAAAGAATTTTCCCTTTGTTTGTCAGAAAGGAGTCTTAACTATCGGAGAGACCAATCATATGGGCTCCGATGACGAAAAGACGTGCCCATCCTGCTCATTGACCTTACTGCCTCCTTTGGGGGTAAGTTGAATCTTGCATTTATGTGAGAGGCATACGGATCATTCACGTAGACACCACTGAGAAAAGGTCTTTCATCGGATGAACTTCCCCAGGTCATTTTCTATTGTAGGAATTCATCAAGTTTATCACGGTCTCTCTCCTTACAATCATCGAGTGCAATTTTCGATTTTGAAAAGGTTTTACATTCACGGAAACCATGAAACTTTTTTGGCATCAATCGGCTTGTGGTTTTGGATGCGTGATACAATAATATGAAATTTTCATACTTGTGTTCCATTTTTTTCATTGATTATTAATTTCCCATCTTAATTTCTCATACCAAGGTTCATGGTCATTATAAAACTTTCAGCACCCTAAAATCGATTATGTCTGGATTTTTTTTTTTTTTTTATGGATTATTATTTTTGAAAGCGACCAAAATAAGGAGCATGAGTTTTTTCGGTCCCCATTTTTGAATAACACGTACATATATGATGCAAATTATAGGATCCGATATTTTCAAATATCCCTCTTCTTTGTTAATCAAAAAATCCCTGTCCGACTTCGAAAACAATTACTCATATAATAAATAAAAATATTTATCAGTATTAGTAAAATTCTTTAGAATAAAAATATATAAATAACCAAATTCAAGCTGCATATGCCATATGTGACATTTTATACAGTATTGGATTGTTTACAATATATTTATTTGTATGCACTATATATTAGATAAATAGAACAATAATATATTATATTATACTATATGCTGTACAATAAATTATTGCTTATCAATATTGTATTTGTTAATAATATCAATTGATTGATTTCAAAAAAAATTTTCAGATATCTTTATATAGATAGATATACTATATAACAAATTATTATATGATATATCCAATAATTAATAATTTTTATTTATTGATTTTAAGTAATTTTGATTATTACTATATAATAAAATTTAATTTAAAGATAAAAAAAGTTGAACTATAAATTATTATAAAAAATTTTTTTTATCAAAATCCCTATTAACTAGTTAAAAATTTTTTATTTAATTTATAAAATTAAAATTATAGCTTATTTCTATAGATCAATAAAAAACAATTTTATATTATGTTAAATTTTATAAAATACTAATTTATTTTTATATACAATTAATTAAAAAAATAAAATCATTTGAAAAAATATAAAAATTTATTGGATTAATTTAAATCAAACAAATGATATATTTTATTTGAATTTAATTTTTTTAAATTTAATATATAAATCTTTTAATAAAAATTATTATTATTAATTTATTAATATTGATAATTTCAAAATTAAATTTTTTTTTTGGATTTTTGTAAATTATATACTATATATTAAATATAATATTAAATTTAAAAAATCTTTAATAAGCTATTATCCAGATCATTATTATTTTAAATATAACTTTTAAAATAATTTTTATTCTATTAGAAGTTCAAATAAATATTTTTTTAATTATTAATATCATTATTTATAGATTATTATTGCAAATTATCTTATTAAGTTTTAATATCAATTAAAATTTAATTACTTTTTTTTTTTTAAATTACAACTGATATTAGATATGGGCAATTTATTAAGACTTAAGTTTAATGACAGTATTATATTAATTATTTCATACAAGTATATAATATAGATTAATAATAACCTAGTACAGTCTATACTAGATAAACCTACTGATACTATGAAAGTGGATAGATCTACTTAAAGATTGACTTCGACTAGTTAATATTCAGTTATCAATAATAAGTCTAAATTAATTAATATAGGGTTTATACTATTTTATATATTTTATTATACTAGTCTTATCTTTATAGTATCCAACAAATAAGATTATATCCTTAAATATTTCTTAAATATTATTTATTTAGTTTTCGAAAAAAGATACATGCCTTATGTATTATTATCCATAATATTAAATTGATTTTATTTAATTAATTTATATTTAAGTAAATTATCAAATTGAAATTTTGAATCAGAAATTAAGAGTTTCTGGAGTATACTAAAACGGGACATTTTTTATTGAGTGTTTATAAAATATTAGGTTAGAAGTTTTTCTTTATCAATTCTTATAATAATATAACCGTGAATCTCAATTTAATCAATAAAAGGCTAGAAGTCATATTTTTATATAACCTAACTTGAATTTCTTAGGTAGGATTCAGATAATTGGATATGACTTCCTTAGAATAATTAATAAACCTGATCAAAAGAATATTTTTAATTTTTGATCCTTAAGTAATATTGAACTACAGACTTTGTGATTATAATCTAGAAGCACTATCACTATACTATTAATCCATAGGTTGAAAATTTAATTACTTTATTTTATAGTTAATTTATTTATTATAATATTTACAATCTTATTAAATTAAAAAATTATAATCATATTAATATTTTATTCTTTTTTTTCTATAAATATTTTAGTTTTATTTTCAATTTGTAATTTTTATATATCATATATTTCAAATTTTTTTATAAAATCAATTATAAAAATTTTTTTGTATTTAAATTATTTATTTTTTTATCTTGTTTTTAACTCTTTTTTCTTAATATTATAGTTTAATCTTTTTATAATTATATTATTTTGAATTAACTTTATATAAAAGTTTAATATATTTTAGTTTTACTTGAAAAAATATTTTATTATTTTAAATATTTTTTATTTATTTATTTATTATTTTTTATTTCTATTTGAACTTTTTTTTTTCTTTTATTTTTTATTTTTTTTTTAGCAATAGAATATAAAAATCTTTAACAATTGCTCTAATTAAATATTTTATTTTTTTATATTATATTCTTATAATTTAGATATTCAAATAAGTAAGACTTATGGATCAATAGTGTAGTAGTTAGCACCCTATTGGTCTAAACACAAGATTCTAAATCAAATTTTTCAGAAGACAAAACTCCTAATACTAATAATGATCTATATCCATTAGTCTAATCATATCTAACTAATGTTTTTAAGTATAACTTGTTACAAATTAAGTTTTTTACAGATAAATAGATTATTAGGTTCTTAGTATCTGATTTGTATTTGTTTGAGTCCAATAATTGTTGTAACTTTTGTTGATCCTTAATAATTGAGTCTATTGTATAATCATATTATCTGACTTTTTCTTTGCAGCTTTTAGATACTTTTCAAGTTATGAATTTTGGATAATATTATAATTCCTGTTATAAAATCAGTAAGATCTACAAAAATATAAGATAGTCTATATAAAAATTGTGATCAAGTCACTATTCAAAATTGAGTAGGATTATTCTTGATAGGACTGCATTACTATCTGTTGATAACAAAAAGAGTAGATTTTTAAAAATCACTAGAAAAACAACTCCCCAATCAAATTTCTAGACTTTAAGTATATAACTATATTTGATTTATAAACTTAATAATTGAAATATCTTTATTAAAAAAAAAATCTATTGATCACTCTAAAAAATTAAAATTTAAGTTCAAGATAAAGAAAATTCAATAATCTGATAATCAGACTACTCTTAACAAAAAAGGATCTGAAAATAATTAAAAAGGAATTATATAGTTTTTAATAAAATAGTACTTATATATAGTTAGTAAATATATAAAAACTCTTTCTGCTGATCTTCTGATCACACACAAAAAAGATGTTCGCAAGAAGTTTTTATACTTCCTTGCTAATAAAGTCTTAATACTTTCCTTAA